GCCTCGGATGCCGTCGTGCTCTCGCGCGCCTCGGATGCCGCCGCCCTGGATCCCATCTTGCGCTCGCTCTTGCGCGATCCTTCTCCCCTCGTTCGATTGCGCGCTTGCTGGTCTTTTGCAAATCTCGTCGAGTGCCGAGCGCACGCGCGCGCGCCCACACCCGTCGACACGCTCGCACCCGCACCCGCCCCCGCACACGTCGACGCGTCCCCCGCCACCGCCTGGGAAACACTCGCGAGCGTCGCTCTCGTCGCTGCACAAGACGAGGAACGCATAGCGATGCACGCACATCGAGCGCTGGGTGCATTGTTGGAGTGTGCTCCCCTGCAATCCGTCGAAACGTGCATGCTCGCATTCACGCTCCTCTTTGATCGCCTCTCGAAAGCCAAGACATCCCCCAAAGCGCACTGGAACGCTTCGTCTGCCGTTGCGCGAGCTCTCTCCTCTTCTAGCGCCACGCATCACCGCTGGAATCTCGTCGAGCGCAAACTCAACGATGAGCTGGTCAGTTGCCTCTTGGTGTGTCTGCTACCCCCATCGCAAGGCGGGACGCAGAACATCAAAACGCGCACGCTCGCGCTCGTGGCGTTGCAGCGCGCTGCCCCGTTATTCGCAGCTTGCAAAGCTTCGACGCGCTCGAGACTTGAGGACACCATCTCGACGCTGGCGTCCAGCATCGAGTCTCAGATTCGCGAAGCTCGATTCAAAGAAGCTCAATTGCATGGTGCGGCTTTCCGAGAAGCGTTGAGGGGGTTGGAGCGGGAGCGAGCGAGGGTGGCGGGGGACGCGAGCGGGAGCGAAGCGAGGGCGAGCGTGGGCGAGGGCGGGCGAGGGCGAGGGCGAGATGAAGGGTAGAGACTGCGCGAAAGGTTGAGATCGCGGGAGCGCGAGATGAAGGGCTTAGACCGCGCTCACGCTCGCGCTCTCATTGACACGCCCCCCCCCCCCGCGTCATTCGACCTGGTCTCGCGTTCGTGTCGAAAGATGGAGTCGCAGCAGCCTCCCATCGACCATTCCTCCAGTAATGCTTGACTCCGCGTCGATTCGCAAAGCCCGGCGTCAATCCGGAATTGATCTGGGTGGCGAGCGGGTGCGGGTGCGGGTGCGGGCGTGTCAGCGTAGCGTGTCGTTTGCGGGCGTGTCAGCGTAGCGTGTCGTTTCTTCCAGCGCCCCCCTCGCGCGCCACGCCACGCCTCACCGCTCCATGCCAGTGCCCCTCTTTGGGCTGAAACTGCTTCGACTTGCTATTGTACCTCGTAAACACACCCTTGTCCTTGTCGTACGTGTGCACAATGCCATCGATGCGAGTGACAAAGTGCACCTCTCCTTGAGCATCTCTCAACTGGCGCGGGGAATGGCGGGCGTCCGCGTAAGCTTGAGCACGCGCAAGCACGCACGCACACGCACGCACACGCACGCACACGCGCGCTCACCATAGCTTGAGCCCATTCTGGACTGTCGACAGCGAATGAGCAGACGTTTCTGGCGTCGTGTAGACACGCACGACTCACACTTGAGCGCGAACTGCCCCAAAGCAGAGCGCAAGAGCAAAGACGACGGTGAGGCGCATGTCGGGCGGGCGCGAATCATGGAGGCGATGAGGGAATTCGCGCGAATCATGGGGGGGGGGCCCACTTCACGCACGCTCTTATTCACTCTCGAGGGGCTGTGCACATGCTATCGTATTCGCCACCGCATTCGCCACCGCCATCGTGTACCCTCGCGGAGATGACGCGACGCTTCTATGGACTACGACGACGACGCTGGAGAAATCTGGGGCCCTCATCCACCTTGCCACCCAAGCGAGGCGGTGGAAAGGAGCTGTGAATGGGATCGTTTGTGCCTGCCCCCACGCCCGCGCCCGTTCCCGCGCCTGCTCCCTTTTCGGGAATCTCTCCCTCCGCTCCCTTGAACCACACTTTGAGAGCCTTGAGCGTAAAGTCGGTGTACACGCTGACGTGAGGGAGCGCAATGTCGTCAGTCGGGACGCATACACGCACGCAATCGCACGCACGCATACACGCGCGCACTCACGCAACTTTCTTTCTTGGATCGCGAGATGCGCAAGCAGCATCGAATGTCCCCGGCGCGCCACCTTTGATCGGACCAAAGTACTCTCTGTGATCATGTCCGGCCACTTGCAGACATACTTGCTTCCATTCGAGTGCGGCACTCTCCGCCTTTGTATTCTGTGGGAGGGTTGTTGCTGCGCGTGCGCGTGGGCGACGGTCAGCTCGTTGTCACGTACGCGATCCGCCATCACTCACGCTCGCAAAATGTGCTCAATTTGTGGCTCTTGTGGGGCTTGTGTTGCGGCGGCGTCGGCGTCGGAGTCTTTGGCTGAGGCGCCGGAGTCTGGGGCATCGGTGGAATGAATGGCTCGTCAAAAGCACGAATGGGTGAGATTTCTGGCCCAATGCCTTGCACCACGGGAGAGGGCGAGGCAAGGGCCGCAGAGAGGGAGAGGAGGAGGCATAACAGGTACGATTTCATGGTGGCGGAGAGGGAGAGAGAGAGCGAGGCGGGCGTGGGCGTGGGCGTGGGCGTGGGCGTGGGCGTGGGCGTGGGCGTGGGCGTGGGCGGCAATGTCGGATGCATCGTCTGGTCTCGTCTCGCATCCCATCGACGCCCCTTCTTATAGACGTCGAATCCATTGAACTTCGCCATCGTGTCCACACTCGCGATGATTTGCGCGCCGTGAAAGGTCTGCGTGACGCGCGGCGCCCTGAATTTGGTCCAGCTGCCCCTCGGTGGATGGTGTTTTCAACGCAGATCCAAGCGAGTGCGCAAATGAATGGTACCGCGAGGCGAGTCGGCGTGGGCTTAAACCGGTGGCGAGTCAGCGTGCGCGCGCAAAGTCGAACCTAACGCGAGTCAGCGTGCGTGGAATCACTGCGCGCGCGCGTGTGTAGACAACGATCGAATTGGCGGTAAGAATGGCGGACAAGATGAAAAAGGAGAAAAAAAGAAAGGTTTGGGGGAAAAGGAAAGTTTCGGAGAAAAGGAACGTGTCGCTAGGGTACGCATCGCGAGTGTAGATGATTGTCTGCCGCGGCGAGCGACAAGAGAGTGTGCATGGAAAGGGTTATACTTTCGCGCGCGTCGCGTCGTAGATGGGAATCATCGGACCGAGGTGCTTCATGGGCGTCGTGTCGGGCTCAATGTCCATCTTGACCTCGTTCCACTCCTTGACCACCTCGGACGTGCGATTCGTAAGCGTCCTGTGGATGAAGCGATCGAGCCTGCGTGAGCGAGTGCGCGCGCGCGTGCGCGCCCACTCACGTCTTTTTGGTCTTGGCGTCGACGCTAAAGGAAGCGCATGCAGCCTTGTACTCTCCGGGATGATTGAGAGCAGGTTCGAAATGCTGCTTGGTGTGCGCGCCAGCTACCTTTTTGCACAATTGTGTCCATTTGCCTGGCGCATCGTTTGGCGCGACGTCTTCTGGCAACGTCACGTCTGCGTGCGTGGGCGCGATGTGAGTTCGAGTCGTGAGTCTCGTGCACGCGCTCTCTGCACCCCCACTCACCGACGTAGAATTTGGTCAAGTCGTCGCCGTCGCCGTCGCCGTCGCGGATCTTATCGTGCGAGGGAATCGGAGCGGCCAGCGAGCGCGTGGACGCCGCGAGGGCAAGCGCGAGGGCGATGGAGCAGAGCGGGAGAAGAGTAGAGGGGCGCATAATGAAGAGGGGGGAGGTGTGGGTGCGAATGTGAGTGCGTGTGGGTGCGAATGTGGGTGCGAATGTGAGTGCGTGTGAGTGCGTGTGAAGAAAGCGACCCCTTTATACGCGCGGCGAATCGAGCCGTCCAGCGATTGCGAATGTTCCGACCGCGAGCGACTCGAATCTACGTCGAGATGCGTCGATTCGAGTCGTCGAGGCGCGTCGATTCGAATCTACGTCTTGACTGCACTCGTCTTGACTGCACTCGTCTCGACTGCTTTTGGTACGCGCAGACTGCTCTCGTCTCGACCGCTCGGGCAGTCAAAAAGAAGAACAAGATGAAGCGCACCCGCGTAGTCAAGTGCCCGCTCACCTCGCGTTCCTATTCTTCTCACATCGCGCGCGCGCGCAAACACACACGATCTAGCACCGTTTATGGATCATCGCATTTGCGCACGAGGGGCGTCAGCAATACCGAGGAACACGTCGTCGACGGACGCACCTTGGTGCGCTGGCATCGCGCTGTTAATCGAGTCCAGTTTGCTACGGGAGCCCATTGAGCGGAATAGCGGAAAACGTCATGACCGCATGCCGCACCTCACCTCACCTCACCGCACTCGTGTACGCTTGCCTTGCCTAAGCGGGAGGAGGTGCTGCAGGACTTGCGCCGGTTGCTTGTTGCATGTGATGTGGAGCCGCAAAGCCTGGTGGTGGTCCAGCGTAGTGATGCGATTCGGCGTGACGCGATTCGGCGTGGTCCGCGTGGGGTCCAGCGTAGTGATGCGATGCTCCCACCCCTGCTCCCGGAACGTTTGTGCCCGCCCCCGCTCCCTCGCCCTCGCCATCGCCATCGCCGGTCTCCTTGTATGCGTACCTCGGCTCGAGGGCCAACCTCTCCTCTGGCGACAATTCCCCATCCGTATACACCATGCGCGATTTGGCTCCTCCTTGCACCGCCAATTGATGAGGACTGGGACCGGTGGCACTCGCGCTCGCCGCGGACCGCATCCACGGACTCGAAGCGCCTGCTGGTGGTGGTGGGGCGTAGACCGTAGGTGACATGGCTACAGGCGTAGGCGCACCGAATCCTGGTGGAGGTCCTGAATAAGGCGGCGCTGCTGCGAAACCTGGTGGTGGACCGTGCGGATAAGCTGGCGAGCCTATACCTGGAGGTGGTCCAAACGGAGGTGGTCGAATGGCTCTGGGGGGGGGAGGGGGGGGCCGAGGGGGGATGGGTACGAAGCACCGTCAGCACACGCAGCGTCAGCACCGTCACGCACGCCCGCACACACCCGCACCGGCACACACTCCACACACCCGCACCCGCACGACTCACGGGTTGAAACCAGGCGGAGGACCAAACGGCGGTGGTGGACCGGGATAGGCCAAATGTGGAGGTAGTGGCGAAGCGGCAGAGGAAGGACCAGCAGCAGCAGATGAAGCCGCACCGCCAGCGCCAGCGCCAGCGCCAGCAGCGGCAGCGGCAGCTTCGGCGTGACTCTTGCCGGCCATGAGAGCCTTGTGAGCTTCGAGTTGAGCTTTGAGCTGAGCAGGCGTCAACGCCACGCTCTCCACTTTGGGACGCTTGGCAGATGGTTGACCTGATGGATTGGATGGATCTTGGCCCGTAGATCTACCCCTTCTGGATTTCCACTCTTCCAAATCTGCCGCTGGAATGCCCGTCATGCCGTAGATCTCCACATCAAAGGATTCCCTGCCTGGCAATGCATTCTCGATGCTGGCGCCGGCGCCGCGTGGCGTGTTGCGTGTTAGTGGTCGCCCCGACATCACCCCACGCACACGCACCCGCACTCACAACGTAGGCTCTGCCTTGTGAACTTGATGAAGATGCACAGTGAGACCTCCAGCAGTGTTGAGTCGACGCGGACAATGAGGACACTTGTAATGTTTGGCCTTTTGATGTTGCAACAAGACCTTTTCATCCTCGAATTCGCGATCGCAATACCAGCACCACGCTTCTAGAAGCGGAGCCTTTTTCTTCTTGGCCATGGTGGTGGGGGGTGCGGGTGGGGTGTGCCGTGCGTGTGGGTGGGTGTGCCGTGTGTGTGTGTGGGTGTGCCGTGCGTGTATGCGTGCGTGCGCGTGCGAAGATGGTGGTGAGCGCGAATGGAGCGCAACGGTGAATGGTGAATCTTGAAATGTTCGCGCGGCGCGATGCAGGGCGCGCGCGCACGCACGCACACACGCACGCACGCACGCACGCGGTGCACGTGACATGCTCCCTCTTTTCGTGCGAGAAGCGCGCGCGCGCGGGGCTGCAATTTTTGAACTTTTGAAATCGCGCGAGGCTTCACGGGAGCGCGACTCACGGGAGCGCAACTCAACTCCTTGACGCTCGCTCCACATTCCACACTCCACACTCTGCTCGCTCGCTCGCTCGCTCGCTCACAAGGCACGATGCCGGGCCTCAAACGCAAATTGGCAGCAACGCGAGCGGGATCGCCCATCAAACGGATTGCACCCAGCGCGCCCAGCACGCACGCACCCAGCGCGCCCAGCGCACCCACCACACCAAGCGACGACGACGACGACGACGACGACGACGACGACGACTCCAAGTACGAGTCGGAAGATGGCGGGTTTGAAGATCTGGAGGGAGAGCCAGCGCCAGCGCCAGCGCGAGAGCACACTGCCACGCACACGCACGCACACACGTCACGCAAGAGCACGGGATTGTACGCCATGCCATCCGCAGACGAGGTGAACCAGTTGCGCGCCACGGGAGAGCTGTATCGGGATGGCGTGTTGAAGCTTCAGGTGAGTGGGTGGGCGTGCGCGAGCGCGCGAGTTGCCGTGCGTGCGTGCGCCACCTAATCCCAATGCCTTCGCCCGCCTTCCCGCCCGCGCCCTCGCCCTCGCTTCGCTTCGCTTCGCTCGCGCGCGCAGATCGAAGCGATGCTGCCTGCTCTACGTCCACGCTACGAGTCGACTAGCACGCTCGATGGGGCCCTGCATCGCCTCAAGGCGCACCTCGATCAGCTGCCCACGCTCCCAGGCGTCCCCTTCGACTCGGCTCAAGCATCGCTCGAAAAGGCCTTTCCTGGCGTCCACGTCCGCATCCCTTGGCCGCCAGCACCACCACCAAAGGGCAAGCTCGCCTACGCCTTTGCTCCTCCCACAGCCGTCCATCTCGTCGGTTCTTGGCCTCTTTGCACAGCAGCCATACGATCTGCGCCGATGAATGTAGACATGGACGTGCAGATGCCCAGCTCCCTCTTTTCCGTCAAGGATGTGCGCGCAGGCAGGTACGCGGCCAAGCGCGCCTTTTACTGCGCCGCACTAGCAGCTTCCATTGCCAATGCTCCTGATCTCGGTCTTCGTGTGCGCTTCGAGGAGGAGGCGTCGGCGGATGCCCACTCGCACGCCACGCTCGTCTTGCTGCCCAGCAAAGACCAAAAGGAGACCGACTTTTCCAAACAAAAAGTCGTCGTGCGCGTTCACTTGTCCCACGAGCTGGGTCTCTTTCCTGTTCGCAGGTTGGGTCCCGCAAAGGTCAACGTTGAAGCGAGCGAGGGCGAGCGCGGGGGCGAGCGCGGGGGCGAGCGCGGGGGCGAGGGCATCGCTCGCGAGGGTGAATCGCGCTCGCACGGCTCGCTCGCTTCACCCTCGCACTCGCACGCCGCCTACAACAGCAGCATCGCCCGCGACAGTCTGCGCGTGGCGCACCTCTTCTATTTGCACGCCACCGCATCCACCTGTCCAGCATTCGCCGACGCCAGTCTCCTGCTCAAGACGTGGGCCTTCAAGAGGGGTTTGGGGGGCGGAGATAGAGCCAGCGCGGTGGGGTCCGCATCCGTGCGATTCCTCTTGACCATGATCCTCGCCCATCTCCTTCACGAAGGGGCGGTGCGCGCGGGGTTCAGCAGCTACCAACTCTTTCGAGGCGTGCTGGATTTCTTGGCGCGACGCTTGAGCAGCGAGGTCACCGCCTTTATGAAGCACATTGCCGGCATTCCCAGTCACCACGCGGACATTCCGCGCGAGGAGTGGGGAGCGTTCGCGCCCTGCCTCGTGGACCCGACGGGCGCTTTGAATTTATTGGCAGGCATACCACAAGGTACGCTCTCGCACATGGCAGCATGCGCCAGCGCCTCGATCGCGCTATTGGACGCCGTCGGCGGGGATGCATTCTCGGAGCTATTCATCGACGACCGCAGCTCTCCTCTGCTGACGTTTGACGAGGTGGCCAGCGTGCGCGGCGGCGGGGGTGCGTGTCGAGAGGGCGCGGGCGCGAGCGCAAGCACCCTAGCGAGCCTGGCACTCCGCGCACTCGGATCGCGCGCCAAGTACGTCGCTTGCTTTGATGGCGGCGCATCTACGTGGTCCATCGACTCGCCTCGCCCTTCCAACAACACCGTCGAACTCGCGCTCGTGCTAGACGCCGAACATGCCCTACGTCTGGTGGAGCATGGACCACCGCCAGAAGACGCTGCAGCCGCACAATCCTTCAAGCAATTCTGGGGAGACTTGTCAGAGCTGCGACGATTTCGCGACGGTCGCATCCTCGAATCCGTCGTCTGGCCGGCGGCCGAGGGACGCGCGCGAATCCCTCGAAAGATTGTCGAGCACATTCTTGCTCGTCACGCGCGCCCGCAGGCGGCGGTACAGTGGCATGCCGACGCTTACGAGGGCTTGTTGAAGCTCCCCGCAATCATCGAATCGTGCGCATCGCTGCAAGACACTAGCAAGTCGGGCTTTCAAGCCGTGCAATCCGCCTTTGAACAGCTTTCCCGCGCATTGCGCGCATTGCAAGGCTTGCCGCTCGCACTGATCGCCATCGCTCCAGCAGCGGAAGCTCTTCGATGCACCAGCGTCTTCATCCCCACGCCCCTCGTATTGGACTCGCTCGGCACTCGAATACCCGACGCGGCATCCCATCTGCCCGCACACGACCTCATCCTCACCCTAGAGAGTTCGGGAAAATGGCCAGACGACTTGTCAGCCATTCGAGCGATGAAGCTGGCCTTTTACCAAAAGATGGCCGAAATGTTGCCGCTCGCGCTCGAGGGATCGCGCGCGGTGGTGGTGCGCGGCGGCGGCGACGCGGGTGGCGTGGACGACGACGACGACGATCACCTCGAAGCGATCCTAAGCCAAGGATTCGCATTTCGCGCTCGCATCCACCACGAGCGGGAGCGCACCTTGTTGGCGCGCGCGCACGCGCTCGCGCCCGCCCTCGCACGCCATTCTCGCCGTTTCGACGTCTCTCCCCGTCATCACGCGCTCGTCTCTACGCTTCAAAATCGCTTCATTGCATTTTCAGAGACTTGTCGATTGCTAAAGAGGTGGACATCGTGTCAGATGCTCTCTCACATTGCCCCCGAACTGCTCGAACTCGTCGTCTTGAGCGTATTCTTGGCCGCGTCGCGCGCGCCATGCAGCGCCTCCACCGGCTTCCTGCGCTCCTTGCAGATGCTCGCGCTTTGGAATTGGAAAGAGGAAGCGCTGCTGGTAGCAGGACACGCAGCCGTCGAGCAATCGGAGGAAGATGTGCGCGCGGGAAAGCTTGCAAAGTTCGACGTCGATGCGTCGTTGCGAGCGCAAGACGATTTCAAGACGCTTCGAGCGCAAGATCCTTCTTGCGAGACGCGAGCTTGGATCATCGTCACGGAGATGGATTTGAAGGGTGCGGATTTTGCCAGCAGAGGACCTACAGCTGCAGAGGCGCACGCGATGCAAAGATTGGCCGGTGCGGCGTGTGCCATCATTCTAGAAAGGGGGGCGGGCATGAGCGCCATGGAAGTTCGAGTGAGTGCGCCGCGAGTACGTGCGCGGCGAGTACGTGCGCGAAGCGCGCGTGCGGGCGAGGGCGGCGCTGACATTGCGTCTGTGTGGTCGCACCCCTCCAGTCCATCTTTACGCCCTCTCTCTCGCACTACGATTTCTTGATCCACCTCGATCCCACCGTGCTACCGCGCTACGCTCAATCGCTCGCATTCGACCCCTCCCTCATCGCGAGCGCGAGCGCGAGCGCGAGCGCGAGCGCGCACGCACGCACAAAGTTCGCAAACTTGGCGTCGCCATTCGCTGCATCCCGCTTCGGCATCTCGCCTCGACCAGCATTCGATGTCGGATCGGATTTCGTCAATCTGTTGATGGTGAGTCGAGCGCGTGCGTGCGTGCGTGCGTGCGTGCGTGCGTGTCGTGAACTCCCGCTGACTTTGCGCACCCACGCCCAGTCCCTCTTTTCGGATACGCTGCGATTGTTCTACGATGCGCACGGAGGAAGCGTCATTGGCGGATTGTGGAACCCGTCTTTGCTGGCTAAAAGACCCTTCAAGCCGTTGCTGGGTTATTCTAGCGTGCCGTGCGGCGATGGCAAGGACAAGATGGTCAGGTTGAATTGCGAGGCGATCTGCGAGGAGATTGAGAGGTTGGGAAAGGGCATCGTGGTTGGTGTGCAGCGCGTGAACCGGCGCGCGAGTGCGGGTGCGTGAGCCGGCGTGCCGCGTGAATGCGATTGCGATTGCGAACGTTTCTTCCAGCGAGAGGTGACGGCGTGCCGCGTGAATGCGAATGTAGCTCTCAGTTGTCCCCGTTAATGCGAACGTATCTGAGAGGCGCCCCCCAAGAATGCGAATGTAGCTCTCGGTTGTACCGTGTCCCGTGAATGCGAAAGTATCTTCCAGCTCAAGTACCTTCGCGCTCACGCATCTTCGCGCTCCCGCGCGCCCCCGCGCGCGCCCCGCCTAGAGATGCCTCCTAGCGCTAGCTCTGATCCTCGTATCGAAAGCCGGACTCCTGATGGGGTTGAGGGGATCGTGAAGCGGATTGATAAACGTCTTGAGGAGCAGTTCCCACGCGTCCAAGAAAAAGTTCCTGATGCCCTCTTCGTGCTTGTGTTCGTGAAGAATGACGAAAAAGTAGCGATTGGGCAGCAGAAAGCAAGAGACGAATTGTTGCTGCGTTCGATCGATGGTGCGGAGGTACATTTGAGAGGTGCGAAGGGACTTGTCGTATATGGAATCGAGAGAGGAGTGAGCGATCATTTGAAGCGTCGAGCGCCACGTGTAGCTCGTCAGTCCTGTGCCGGCGCGCGGCGTGGCGGCGGCGGCGGCGGCGGCGGCGGCGGCGCTGGGCGTGGAAGCAGCAGCAGCACCATCGCTGGACGCAGGAGCGCCACCGCCGCCCAGCCCATCCAATCCTCTCAGACCGCTAGCCAGCGCGCTCAAGGAAGCGGAAAAGTTGAACGCGCCACCCGGTGGTATGTTGCCGTCGTTGTCGTGATCGTCCCTCGGCAAAGCAGCGAGCGAAGCTTTGGGCGTAGTCGCCGCGGCAGAGGCAGAATACCCACTCGGATTCGCTGCTGCTGCTGCTGCTGCTGCGGTGCTTTGCGCGCTCGAGCTCGCTCCACCAAACAAACCGCCTCCGAATCCTCCGAGGCCTGCGCTCAGTCCTGCGCTTCCTCCACCGCTTGGCTTGGAGGATAGGTGCACCTCGTACAGCGGCGAATCGCGAGGAGATATGATGACAAAGTAGTACGACATGGTGGGTGCGGGTAGTGGTGGTGGTCGTCGTCGCGGTGGTGGTCGTCGTCGCGGTGGTGGTCGTCGTCGCGGTGGTGGTCGTCGTCGCGGTGGTGGTGGTGTTGGGAGCTGGCTGCATGGCGTGCCGAGCGTCTGTCTACGAGCGCGTGACGTGCGATGCGCCCGCCCGCTCGCTCGCCCGCGCGCGCGATTCTCAATCACGTGATAAAGGGCCCCTCTCGCGCGAGAGATTTCCAAATTTACATGACCACTCGCGACTTTCGCGAATTTTGGAACTGGCGTCTAGTGACTCGTGCTCGCGCGCTCCCCCCTCCTCATGGCCCCCGACCACCGTCCACGCCACACGCCTTCTCGCCATGTCGGAGCAGACTCATCGCGCTCACAGATCTTCCAAAGATCGTGGGAAAGCTGCCAAGGATCGAAATGCCAAGTCGGCTGATCATTCCAAGGCATTCAACGCCAAGGTGCGGCGAGCGCGAGCGCGAGCGTGCGCGCGCCAAACACACGCGCGCCCGGCGCGCACCCACTGACACCTTCTCGCATGCCCCCCCCCCCCCCCCCCCCCCCCCCCCCCCCACAGGCCTTTGTATCCTCCTCGCGCTTCGCTCAAGATAAGCAGATTCGACGCAATGCCGAATTGTCGCAAAAGAGGTTGCACGTGCCTTTGGTGGATAGGAGTCAAGAGGTGGGGTTGGAAGAGCAGGCGCCGGTGGTCGTGGCAGTCGTTGGACCGGAGGGAGTGGGAAAGAGCACGCTGATGAGGAGTTTGATTAGGAGATTCACGAAGCATACATTGCAGGACATCAAAGGTCCCGTCACGGTTGTTGCAGGTGCGTTGCGCGCGAGCGAGCGAGCGAGCGGGGGGGGAATGGCAGCGAGGGCGGCGGCGAAGCATTCCTAACGCACATGCTCACACGCACACGCACGCGCACGCGCTCCCACCAGGCAAGAAGCGCCGCTTGACATTCTTGGAATGCAACAACGACATCAATTCCATGATCGATGTCGGCAAGATCGCAGATCTCGTCCTGCTCATGATCGACGGCAGCTTTGGTTTCGAAATGGTGAGCGGGTGTTATGGGGGGGTGGGCACGCGCAAATCCTCTCGCTAACACGCGCACGCGCACGCGCACGCACACCCACGCACGGCCCCCAGGAAACGATGGAATTCTTAAACATCCTTCAAGCGCACGGTTTCCCAAAAGTCATGGGCATCCTCACGCACCTCGACCTCATCAAGAAAGCCTCGACCTTGCGCGCGACCAAAAAACGTCTCAAATCCCGCTTCTGGACAGAGATCCATCAAGGCGCAAAACTCTTCTACCTGTCCGGCATCATCAATGCGCGCTATCCCGATGCCGAGATTGCCAACTTGTCGCGCTTCATCAGCGTCATGAAATTCCGTCCGCTCGTCTTTCGCAATGCCCATCCTCACCTCTTGGCCGACCGGCTGGAAGACTTGACACCGCGCGAAGAGGTGCGGCAAGATTACAAGGTGGATCGTCGCATCACGCTCTACGGTTACCTGCGCGGCACCTTGCTGAGAGAGGGTGCGCGCGTGCACATTCCAGGCGCAGGAGGAGGCGATTTCAGCATCGCTTCGATCGAAAGATTGGCAGATCCCTGTCCCTTGCCGACGCTAGAGAGCGAAAAGAGGAGGAGATTAAACGACAAGCACAAGCTGATTCATGCGCCCATGAGCGATGTGGGAGGCGTCATGTTCGACAAGGATGCGGTGTACATCAATGTGAATGGTCACTACTCGGGGGGCAGCAGCAGCGGCGGGGGCGGGGGCGCGGATTTGGTGGTGCGTTTGCAAGGTGCAAAGGATACGTTGGATGAGCGGGCTAGAGCGGGAAAGATGCGCCTCTTTGAGGGGGGAGAGGGCGGCGAAGAGGAGGAATTGCTTGCTCCTGCGACGCCTGCGACGCCTGCGACGTCAGCTTCGGCTCCCGTACGTGTCAGAAGAGCGGCTTTTGATGACGGCGGCGGGGACGACGGCGCGGACAGCGGTGACGACAGCGATGACAGCAGCGGTGACGACGACCACGACCACGACAGCGACCGCGACGACGACGACGACGACGACGACGACGACGACGCCGTCATCGCCACCGCGGCGCTACCATTTGCGGATTCGGATTCCGACATGGGCGGTGATGACTCCCCCGCGTCAGTCGACCTTGGAGAGAGGGCGAGGAGGGTGGTGATGGAGAACAAGAGGGGCAGGGCAAAAGATTGGATGAGGGAGATTTACGAGTCGGATTTGGACCCTTGGCAGATCGTCGGCGCCGGCGGGCGCGCCGTGTCTGATGAGGCTGATCTCTCGCGCTCGCGCTCGCCCGCGTCTGATCTGTTCCAGCTGGCGAAGCGAGATGGCCATCGCGACGACGACGACGAGCACGGCACACTTGCACTGGTTCCTGATCAATTCGAGGGGAAAGGGGAGGGAGTGGAGTTCAAAGAGGATGCCGAGCTGGATGCTATTCGACACCTCTTTTTTACCGGAGCAGAGCAACAGCAAGTCGAGCGCGACGATGATGGCGACGAGGAGGAGGAGGCGCTCGATGATGGCGACGAGGAGGAGGAGGCGCTCGACGCCGGCTCGGCCGCCCACACCCGCTCGCAGGCCGCGCGCAAAGAAGCGCTAAAGAGACGCTTTGACGAGCAGTACGACGACGACGACGACGGCGACGCGCCAAAAGAGGACTGGTACGACGAGCAAAAAGCAGAACTGACTCGACAGGCCGAAGCGAACAGGGCGGAATTCGCTCAAGAAGATGCTGCTACGCGCGATCGGATACAGGGCTACAAGCCTGGCGCATACGTTCGCATCGAGTTGAAGGATGTGCCCTTTGAGCTGGTGCGCCACTTTGACGCGCGTCGACCGCTTCTGGTGGGTGGATTGCTTTCGAGCGAAGAGGCGCTAGGTTTCACCCAAGTCAGGATCAAGCGGCATCGTTGGCATGCGCGCATCCTCAAGACGAACGACCCCCTCATCTTTTCCATCGGTTGGAGAAGATTTCAAAGCACGCCAATCTATTCGCTGGATGATGGGACGCGCAATCGGATGCTCAAGTATACGCCCGAACATATGCATTGCCTAGCCACGTTTTGGGGTCCTTGCAGTCGACCAAATACCGGTTTTGCAGCGTTTAATACGCTCTCTTCTCAAGTCTCTTCGTTTAGGATCAGCGCGACGGGCACGGTGCTAGGTTCGGATAGCGCAGCGGCCGCTTACAAGATCGTAAAGAAGCTCAAATTGACGGGAACGCCGAGCAAGATTTTCAAGAATACGGCATTCGTAAAGGACATGTTCAATTCCAGCTTGGAAGTGGCCAAATTCGAAGGAGCGCACATCAAGACCGTTTCGGGCGTGCGCGGCCAGATCAAAAAGGCGCTCGCGAAGCCAGAGGGGCATTTCAGGGCTGCGTTTGAGGACAAGGTGTTGATGAGCGGTGAGTCGCGAGTACGAGCGCGGCGCGAGTACGTGCGCGAAGCGCGCGTGCGAGGGCCGGCGTGCGTGCGTGCGTGCGTGCGTGCGTGCGTGCGTGCGTGCGTGAATCGCCTCGCTAGCATGCACGCGCGCGAATCTTCTCGCTAACTGCATGCGCGAATCGCCTCGCTAACATGCACGCCCCCCGCAGACATCATCTTTCTACGCGCATGGTACGCCATCCTACCCCGCAAATACTACAATCCCGTCACTTCGCTCTTGCAAGCCGGAGAATGGCAAGGCATGCGCTTGACTGGAACAGTTCGACGAGAACAGGGCATGAGCGCACCCAATCTGACCGACAGTCGATATGCTCCCGTCGTGCGACCGGAAAATCGCACATTCCACGCTCTCAAGGTTCCCAGAAAGTTGCAGGCTGCGCTGCCGTTTGCTAGCAAGACCAAAGTGTTGAAGAAGCAAGCTGAAAAGACGTATTTGACTAGACGCGCCGTCGTTGCTGAAAAGCCGGAGCGCGAAGCCATGGCTCTTTTGCAGCGCATGCACGCCGTTCAAAAGGTCAAGGGGGCGAAGCGCAAAGAGACCAAGGTGGCTAGGAGGGAGGAGAAGCGCAAGAGGGAGAGCAAGGAGGAGAGCGTGCGCGATGCAAAGAGGCAGAGGGCGATCAAGCAGAGTCTCAAGGTGGCGGGGCGGGCGCAGGCGCGGGCGCGGGCGTGAGCGTGAGCGTGAGCGCCAGCGCTAGAGGGAGTGGTGCCAATGTATGCATTCGTGATTGTGATTGTATTGGGTGTGCGAGTGTAACGGGTGTGCGAGTGTAGTGAGGGCGCTCGTGTATTGGGTGCGAGTGTATTCACGGCGCTCGTGTATTGGGTGCGAGTGCATTGGGTGCGAGTGTATTCACGGCGCTCGTGTATTCACGGCGCTCGTGTATTGAGGGCGCTCGTGTGTTAGGGGCGCACGCATCGCACGCATCGCACGCATCGCACGCACACCCGCGCGCTCACGCACCGCCCAGCCCGCGATTCGCAAGCGTCCGCCTAACATCCCCCAACCCATCGAGATTGCCTTGCGCCACGACGGTGCTCTGCCCGCTTCCCAGTCCGAAATTGTTCTTCTCGCCGCCGCCGCCGCCGCTGGTGCGGCAGCGCGCCGCCCTCAAGACGCGATTGGCGACCCTGTGCAGCGCATCCAAATCCACCCCGTCAATCTTTTCGCACATTTCCTCCACCGAAACCTTGTGGCCATGCACCTGAACCTGTCTTCCCAGATCCTCCACCTCCACCAATCTGCTCTCCAAGCTCATGACCAGGCTAGATTTGAGCTGATTCTTTGCTCTAGCCAACTCCACGCTCGTCACTGCTCCTCGAACGTGGGGCGAAGTGAGGCTGTCCAGTTCGCGCGCGATAATGTTGGCAATGTGACCGTTAAAGTCGGGCTTGACGCTAGCAGCGATGCCAAACAATCCCGAATCCTTGTAGCAGTGATGAAAAGCTGCGCAAAAATCGACGGCGTGATGTTGATTGAGGACGTTGCTGTACAATCGACTGTACATTCCCTTGCCAGGTCCTCCAGCCGAAAAGCTTCCTCCTCCTCCCAACAAGATTTGCATCGTTGCGAGCGCGTAAATGTCGTCGTCGTGAATGGACAAGCCTTCGAATGCGACGTAGACTTGCGTAAACTCCATCGTGGGCGTCGATTCGTACAGCTCGCCGCCAGTGTACCGAGCGCGAGCGCGGGCGTCGCGGGCGTGAGCGCGAGTTTCGGCGTGAGGAAGTGTGCGAGTGTCGGCGGGAGTGTCGGCGTGAGTATTGGTGCCCGCGTCGGCGATCGCTGCGCTCCCGCCCTCGCCAGCGCCCCCGCCCCCGCCCGCGCTCAAACCCCCAAACCACTTTGCCGCCAATTCGACCATCCTTTCGTGAGGCATGCCAGCTCCCGCCACCACGATCCTTTCGGGCGTGTACCAAGCGTCCATGAAATCGCGCAAATGCTTCACCTTCATCACCTCCAAACTCTCCACGGGACACAGCAGCGGGTTGCCCAGCGTATTATCCCTAAAAGCGACGGTGTGCAAAACCTCTGGCAAGATCATTTCCGGCTTGTTCCAAATCTCTCCAATCTCCCAACGCGTCGCTTCTTGCTGAGCAGCCAACTCTTCGGGCAAGAGGGCGGGATGAAGCACCGTGTCTGCGAGGATGGACAGCGCAGCTTCCACATCCTTGTTGAACACGAGCGATTGGTACATGATCGACTCTCTCGAAGAGGAGCACATGACGTTTCCTCCCATCTTTTCGATCATCGTCGTCATCTCATCCGCACTGCGATTTCGCGTGCTCTGGGGGCGAGGGCGGCGGACGCGTGAGGAGCGGGAGCGGGCGCGGGCGAGAAAGAGCGACACGTGCAAAGAGTCAGCAGGCGTTCAAGTCAGCAGGCGCACTGTGACACGCGCACGCACCCGCGCACCCACGCACCCGCACACGCACCCGCACACGCACCTTGAAAGCCATTCGATCGAGCAAATGACTGACTCCAGATTCACCAGGCACCCAAGCCCTCTCGTACCTGCTTCCCGTATCCACATACACACCCACGGCCGAAAAATGTCCCGGTGCGGCTTGCGTGGCGACTCTGACCTTGTTTGGCAAGGTGCTTTGAAACGTCGTCGAGGAGGGGGAGTAGGAGGAGGGCGAGACCGAGGAGGAGCGGAGGGATGCTAGAGGAGAAGCGGTGCTGCAGAGGTTTCGATGTGGTGCGGGTGCGGGTGCGTGTGCGTGTGCGGGTGCGGGTGTGCGTGCGACTGCACGGCGAGCCAAGCCAGTCGTAGCGCCCGTGAGCCTCGCGCCCGCGCCCGCCATTGTCATCCTGATCGCCAGATCGCTCGAATACAGCGACCAACTTTTTTGCGTTGCGTGATGGTGGTCGAGACGTGCCTTGCGCGAATGCAGCGAATCGTGGAATCGCGCGCCCGCGCCACACAAAAAAGTCCATCACCGCGTGCGCATCACGTGATCATCAAAGGGGTCCGGTCACGTCACACGCGAGCACGCGGCACGCGCGCGCACACTCTTCCCCAACATGTCTTTCATTCTCTACAGGCGATGCGATACACGAGGGCCGAAAGCGGGAATGTGGTGGGGAGGGGAGCAGTTGCCTTCTAGCCTGATGATGCTGCCGAAAAGATGAAGAGCTGGGGGGTTGCGCTCGCGATCAAGTCAGCGCGAGGGCTCGAGCAGGCACGCACGCAAGCACGCACGCCGGCCGCACCGGCACTCACATTGTTCGTAGCTGCAATCGCAATCGTATTCTCCCTCGGATGGAAGCTGGCGTGCAGGATCTTCTTGTTAAAGTCCTGTGTGCGAGGGTGCGCGGACGCGAGCGAGCAGGTAAAGAGGTGGCGCAAGGTCGCAAGGTCAGTCATCGCATTCGCGCGCGCGCGCGCGCATTCGCGCACGTACTCGCCGCGCACGTACTCGCACTCACGACATTGTCCACATTGACCTGGCTGACCGCACCAGGCACACCAGGCGCCGCCCCATTCCCCGCCGCCGCCCCTCCCTTTTTCTTGTTTCCAGCAGCCTTTTTGTTCTTAAAGGCGCTCTTATCCGCCTGCAGCACCACATCCTGCTCCTCCTCCTTGTCGAAAATGTGGAAATAATTGTTGTAGCTTCCCGTCAAGACCTTTTTGCCGTCCGGTCCCCACAGCGCTTCAAACTTGTCAAAGATGCAATCGTTTTCGTACAAATCGCACAGCTTGCTCCGCAAGTGATCGTGAATGGGTATCGTCTTGACCGGCCGACTGTCCATATTCACATCCCAAAGCTTCAACGTGAGGTAATCCCGCGACAAGATATACCGCCCGTCCCTGCTAAACTTGACATCCGAAATGCTGCTAATGATTTCGCTAAAAAAGGACTTGTTCGATGGGTCCTCTTCCTCCTCAAAGTCTGTCGGCGGGGGAAAAGCACATCGCAGGGGCGCGCGCGCGCGCATCGCATCGCATCAGCTGGCGCAAGCGCATACTCCAGCGCACGCACGCTCTCTCCCACTCACGCTTGGCGTGCTGATCGCACAGTGCCGAATCCCGCATGTCTGCCAGCTTGATGGTCCCCTTGGAACTAGAGTAGACGAAGTGGTTGCAATTGATGGGATGGAATTCTGCGGCGGTGATGACTTCTGTCAGTTCCTCCATGTTTACCGGCTTGATATCGACAATGTCTGCGGGGGGAGGGAAATGAGCGCGGGTGAGCGGGTGAGCGCAGCTAAATGCTGTTGCCTGTGCGCTCGCGCGCGCGCGCCCGCCCGCACGCACTAAAGCTCTGATCGGAAATGTTGAGGTTCCACAGATTGACGCGCAAATCGTCTGCTGAAATGTACGTCTCTCCATCCGAATTAACGCTGATGGAGTTGATGTGGTATGCGTGCGCATTGGCGTAAATTTTCCTCGGCACTGCAGCGACGATGGTATCGTGGTGCGTCAATGTCGGCATCCTCAAGTTGGCTCCGCTGCCCACCAGAGGTGTGGGCGTCGGGGCGAGCGATGGGTGCAAGGATGATGAAGAGGTCGCTGCTGCATGCGCGCTCTGAAATCGATCGCCAGACAGGTTATTCTCTGCCACCACTTTTAAGCTCTTTTCGAATACTTTCCACAGCTTGATCGTCTTGTCTGTGGGGGTGCGGGTGCGGGTGCGGGTGGGCGACGTGGGCGTGGCATGGCGTGACGTGAGCGTGAGCGTGAGCGTGAGCGTGAGCGTGAGCGCGGCGATGTGTGAGCACGCCATCACAGCGCCCCTCACCATTCGTGGATAGCAAAAAGTGGGCGGCATTTTGACGCCTGCACCACCGAATCTTGTTGATCTTTTCCTCAATCTCCAACGATTTCAGATAGTCGAATTCGGGTTCGTGAGATTGAAATTCGGTGTGGAATTTGTACTCGCAGCCCTTTTTCTGTCGTCGCAAGGGGGCCACACGCACACGCAATTCAGTCGAGCGAGTGTACACCATCATCCGACGCACACGGCCCACTCACGGAATCGTTTCGCTCAAACAGCACCACTCTGCCGCCCTTGTCTCCGGTCGCGAGATAGTCGCCGGTATGATCAAACTCGACAGTCGAGATGATGTCGGCTGGTGGGCGAGCGCGGGCGTGGGCGTGAGCGTGAGCGTGAGCGTGGGCGCGAGCGTGAGCGTGAGCGTGTCAGCAAGACGATTTGCGCGCCGACTTGCGCGCCAATTTGCTCGCAACTCACCCTCTGTGATATCTTCCACCTCTCCCTTGTCACCAAAGCACTGGGCAAACTTCCAAGGAGCGGAAGCATCCTGTGGTGCCGTCGTTCCCCCTTCCATCTCGTCCTGTGTGCGCGTCGTGTGTGTATGCGTGGTGTGTATATGCGTGGTATGGCGCGGTGTACCGCAGCGAGAGTCGAATCGGATCGCCTCGCCTCGCGCGTGTCCTGGCTTGACCCGTCGCTTGACCCGTCGCTCGTCTCGTATTGGCAAACGTCTGCTGCCGGCGTCAAAGCAAAGGGGAGCGAGAGCACGCACGCGAGCGTCTCTCGATGGATGCCAGCGGTGCGCGAGGAGCGCGAGCGCGGTGGATGCCGAGCGCGGTGGATGCCGAGCGAAGTGTGTGCTTTCGCGGGATGCCGAGCGAAGTGTGTGCTTTCGCGGGATGCCGAGCGAAGTGTGTGCTTTCGCGGGATGCTCTCGCAGGCGTAGTGAATTCGTTCGCGGGCTGCTCTCGCTGGCGCGCAGGTGCAGGTCGTCGTTGTGATGGTAGTGAGGACGACGAGGACGACGATATGCTGCCATCCGTGATCGCCTGCTGCACGCACCATGCACTCACCACTCTGTCGTCGTCTCTGCTTTTGCGATGCGATGCGATGCGCTCCGTGCACTCACTCACGCTCCTGCTGCTCTCTGTCACCGCGCCCGCGCGCCCGCCCACGCTCGCATGCGGCAGGTCAAACCGCGGGCAATTGACCACTCGATCTCGCGCGCGCGCGCGATGTGCCCTGACGTACGTACGCGCGCGCGTGACATTGCCCCTTGCGCGTGCCACGCAATCACGTGATTACATCTCTCGCGCGAGATTTTGGTTCCCTTGGGATTTTTTGTCAGTCACGAGTCGCGCGCGCGCGAGTGCACGTCGACCATCCCATTCATCATGCTAGGGCGTGTACACTCCATCGCCCCACACCCCCTCCCAACCCCTTCTCTCAAGCAAACATGACCGCGCCAACGCCAACGCTTGCAGAGGCGCCGCACGCCGGACCCTCTCAGGCGACTCGTCGAGTGCACATCTCCGGTCTATCCAGCACGCTATCCGACGAATCGCTGCTCTCCCGCTTCTCCACGCTTCGAGCGTGCAACTTTCATCGACCGGCAGCCGCAGCAACAGCAGCAACAACAACAACGACCGCCGCCTCACTTCCCGGACCCAAAGCTTGGCTCACGCTCGTAGGTCCTGCAAAGGAGGTGGAGAGGAGCGCAAATTCCTTGCACGGTGCGCTCTGGAAGGGCAGCAAGATACGCGTAGGAACTGCAAAACCTGACGGTGCCCTCGCTCCGCTACCTCGACCCGCTGCCACTTTGAGGCGCGAAGCTGCTCGGGCGGAAAAGAAGCAGCAAGCGCGAGAGAGGAGACGTCAGCGTTGTCCGAGGGAGGAAAAGGTGGATAGGGTGGTGGATTTGCAAAGCGTCAAGGATGGCCAACATTGGGTGAGCGCGTGCGCGAGAGTGAGCGCGCGCACGCACGCACGCACGCACGCACGCACGGCTGACATTTGCGCTCGCTCCTTCTAGGGCTGGCACGTTACCCCAGCATCCCACCTCATCCGTCCCATGCACATGCGACCATCTCATCCGCTCCCTCCTCCAGCAGCAGCCTCCATGTCGAGCGGGCAGCCTAAACGCAAAACCACCAGCAGCAGCAGGAGCAGCGGCAGAGCGCGCAGACTGACCATCGACCCGCGCAGGTACTCGCGCACGCATCTAGCTGGCGATCTGCTGGACTTTGATGGCGGCGGCGGGGGCGACCGCAAGGCATTGCAAAGCGCATGGGTGTGGGACGAAGAGCATGGTGCTTGGAGGGATCAACATGGAAGGGTCGAAGTCGTCGTCGTCGCGGCGTCTACACCCGCCGATCACGCTCGCGACGACGGCGACGACGGCGACAATTCGATTCCAGATCAGCTCGCAGACGATCCGATTGCAGATCAGCTCGCAGCCGATTCGATTTCAGATCAGCCAGACGCAGACGATTCGATGTCAGATCAGCTCTTTGCGCCGCAACGATCCGTCTCGCCACTGTTTGACGCCCCGCAACGATCCGTTTCGCCACTGTTTGACGCCCCGCAACGATCCGTCTCGCCGTTGTTTGACGCCGACGCATTTTCAGAAGGCTACGAAGAGGACGCGGGCGGCAGCGTGTTGGAGGAGGATGAAGAGGCGCAGACGAAAAGGGTGCTTCGCGAGCTGTACGGCGAGGTCAAGTACGGCGAGGAAGCGAGTGCAGCAGCAGCAGCAGCGGCGGCGGCGGCGGCGGAAGAGGAGAGCGACGATGAGGAAGCGTTGCGGAAGTTGTTGTCTGCGCGAGCGAAAGAAGAGCCTGAGCGTGCGCCTCGATCCCGCTTAGACTTTATAAAGCCGAATTTGGAGAGCGGCAGCGGCGGCGGCTCGAGCAGCGCGCATTCATTCACGCCAGTCGTCAGGTTCGATCCGGGCGTGCGCGCGCGCGCGGACGACGACGGCGAGGGCGAGGGCGAGGAAGCGCAACCGCACTCGCACCCGCACCCGCACTCGCACGCGCAACGCACCGAATCGCCCGTACGCTCGCCCGCACGCTCGCCCGCGCCGCAAACGAACCAGCGCAGCACGTTGGAGGTGCAAAAGCTGACGGACATGTTTAAACCTCAAGAGGCGGGTGAGTGGGGGCGCATCACGCGAGGGAGAGAGCCGTCGCACATACTGACACGCATCGCGGTCGAGCCAGCTCCAAGCTTTTCCTTGCTGGGCGATTTGGCAGAGGAGGATCTCGATTTGGACATGGCATTCGATCATGGCGGCAATGGCGCAGACGACGGCGCGGATGATGTCGAGTCGACACACGTCGCGAATCATGCGGCCCGGGCCGCCCCTTCGGACCTCTTTAATCCGGATCCGAATCTGCCCTTCTTCTTTGCAGTCTCCAAAAAGGCCTCTTCCGCTGCAAGAGCTCGCGATCCCATCGTCCGGCTGACCAGTCTGAGCAGCAGCAGCAGCACTGCCGCGTCGATTCGCGAATTTGTGCGCCCGGCGGAGGAGAAAGAGGAGGAGAGGATAAAGAGGTGGGAAATGAGAAAGTCGGAATTGACGCGCGAGTGGAAGAGGAGACATCGAGAGGCTGTCAAGAAGCGCAAGCGGGGTTACGAGGGGTCGCGCAGAGCTGCCGCTGCGTGAATGAAATCGTGAATGCTGTTGCCCTCTCAACGCATGAGACGAATGTACCTGTGTGTGGGTGGGGTGTGCGCGCGTGTGAGCGTTGTCGCGCGCGCATTGTTTGTTCGAGTCTCGTCGCGCGCGCGCGCAACTCACGCGAGTAGCAAGGCACCCGCACCGGTAGCCACACCGGTGAGCGTCTGCAAAACATTAAACTTGGCGCTCTGAATACCCGTTCGAAGCGTAGCGATTTCGCTCTCTATCCTCGTGTCCACCTCTTTGATCTTGAGCGCATGCACCGACGATTCGTCCCTGAGTCGGCCTGCGGGGGAGCGTGAGCCGCGTGAGCGTGCGCGTGAGCGTGCGCGTGAGCGAGAGGAGCGTGAGTGTGCGCTCGAGCAACCGCAACGTGGAGACGCCCGCTCGCTCGCCTCGCCTCGCTTCGCCCGCCCCGTCACTCACCCTTTTCGAGGGACAAATCCAAACGTACACCGGCAGTGGTGCGCGTAATCTCTTCCCTGAGCCGCTGCTTTAGCCTCTCCACTTCCGCCATCAACCTCTCATTCTCTCCCTTCATCAATGCGAACTCATTCCTCTCCAACAATTGAATGTCCGATTTCAAGCGTGCAAAGTCGACCTGCGTGCGTGGGTGCGTGGGTGCAAGCGTATGCGTCAGCCCGCGTCCACGTCCGCGTCCACGTCCACATCCACGCCCACGAGCACCTCGCCCCCCCCCC